GAACCCCCTATAGGGCTACGAAGCGCTGTTCTGGGTGGGTGAAGCGCAAGGAACAAGGGCTGTGTTGGGTGGTGGCGGACGCAAGCGGGCAGTGCCACTGGGACCTCTGGTGGAGCCCCCTATGGGGCCACGAAACGTGCGAGGGGTGTGCCGGAATGGGGTGTGGAACCGCATGCCAGCGCAGCCACTGGGGCCTTCGGTGGAGCTCCCTATGGAGCCACGAAGCGTGTGAGGGGTGTGCCGAAATGGGGGGTGGAACCGCATGCGAGCGCAGCCACTGCGGCGTTCGGTGGAGCTCCCTATGGGGCCACGAGACGTGTGAAGGGCGTGCCGAAAAAGGGTGTGGAACCGCATGCGAGCGCAGCCACTGGGGCCTTCGGTGGAGCTCTCTATGGGGCCACGAACCGTGTGAGGGGTGTGCCGAAATAGGGGGGACCATATGCGAGCGCAGCCACTGTGGCGTTCGGTGGAGCTCCCCATGGAGCCACCCACGAAGCGTGTGAGGGGTGTGCCGAAATGGGGGGGTGGAACCGCATGCGGGCGCAGCCACTGGGGCCTTCGGTGGAGCTCCCTATGGGGCCACGAAACGTGTGAGGGGTGTGCCAGAATGGGGGGGGTGGAACCGCATGCGGGCGCAGCCACTGGGGCCTCCGGTGGAGCTCCCTATGGGGCCACGAAACGTGTGAGGGGTGTGCCAGAATTGGGCGTGGAACCGCATGCAAGCGCAGCCACTGGGGCCTTCGGTGGAGCTCCCTATGGTGCCACGAAGCGTGTGAGGGGTGTGCCAGAATGGGTGTTGAACCGCATGCGGGCGCAGCTACTGGGGCCTTCGGTGGAGCTCTCTATGGGGCCACGCAACGTGTGAGGGGTGTGCTAGAATGGGGGGTGGAACCGCATGCGGGCGCAGCCGCTGGGGCCTTCGGTGGAGCACCCTATGGGGCCACGAAACGAGTGAGGGGTGTGCCAGAACTGGGGGTGGAACCGCATGCGGGCGCAGCCACTGGGGCCTTCGGTTGAGCTCCCCATGGGGCCACGAAGCGTGTGAGGAGTGTGCCAGAATGGGGGGTGGAACCGCATGCGGGCGCAGCCACTGGGGCCTTCGGTGGAGCTCCCTATGGGGCCACGAAACGTGTGAGGGGTTTGCCAGAATGGGGTGTGGAACCGCATGCGGGCGCAGCCACTGGGGCCTTCGGTGGAGCTCCCTATGGGGCCACGAAACGTGTGAGGGGTGTGCCAGAATGGAGGTGGAACCGCATGCGGGCGCAACCACGTACTGGGGCCTTCGGTGGAGCTCCCTATGGGGCCACGAAGAGTGTGAGGGGGGTGTGCTTTTGTGCCAAAATGGGGGGAGAACGCATGCGGGCGACAGCCATGGAGCCTTTTCGGTGGAGTTCCCTGTGGGGCCACGAAGCCCTAAGCGTTGTGAGGGGTGTGCCAGAATGGGTGGTGGAACCGCATGCGGGCGGCAGCCACTGGTGCCTTCGGTGGAGTCCCTATGGGGCCGCGAAACGTGTGAGGGGTGTGCCAGAATGGTTGGTGGAACAGCATGCAGCATGGGGCGCAGCCACTGGGGCCATCGGTGGAGCTCCCTATGGGGCACGAAACGTGTGAGGGGTCTTATCCTCTTCGTGGGGTGTGCCCAGAATGGGGGGCTGGAACCGCGATGCCGGGCGCAGTACTGGGGCCTTCGGTGGAGATCCATATGGCCACGAAACGTGTGAGGGGTGTGCCGAAATGGGTGTGGGTGACGCATGCGGCCGCGGGCACTGGGGCCTTCGGTGGAGCTCCCTATGGAGCCACGAAACGTGTTAGGGGTGTGCCGAAATGGGTGTGGGGGACGCATGCGGCCGCGGGCACTGGGGCCTTCGGTGGAGCTCCCTATGGAGCCACGAAACGTGTGAGGGGTGTGCCGAAATGGGTGTGGGTGACGCATGCGGGCGCGGGCACTGGGGCCTTCGGTGGAGCTCCCTATGGAGCCACGAAGCGTGTGAGGGGTTTTGTGCCAGAATGGTGGGTGGAACCGCATGCGGGCGCAGCCAAATGGGGCCTTCGGAATGGGGCTCCCTAGAGGGCCACGAAGCGTGTGAGTGGGTGTGCCCGAAATGGTGGTGGAACCGCATGCGGACCCTGCCACTGGGGCCTTCGGTGGGGCCCCCTATGGGGCCACGAAACGTGTTAGGGGTGTGCCGAAATGGGGGTGGATCCGCATGCGGACCCTACCACGGGTGCCTTCGGTGGAGCTCCCTGTGGGGCCACGACACGTGTGAGGGGTGTGCCGAAATGGGTGTGGGGGACGCATGCGGGCGGCAGCCACGGGGCTTCGGTGGAGCTCCCTTCAATGGGGCCGCGAAACGTGTGAGGGGTGTGACCAGAATAATGATGCCAGAATGGGTGGGTGGAACCGCTTGCGGGCGGAGCACTGGGCCTTCTTGGAGCTCCCTGTGGGCCACGAAACGTGAGAGGGATGTGACCAGAATGGGGGTGGAGACGCCTGGGCGGGGAGCCACTGTGGCCAGCGGTGGAGCTCCCTATGGGGCCACGAAACGTGTAGGGGTGTGCAGAATGGGTACCCTCCCCGCATGCGGGTCGCAGCCAACATCGCAGCCACTGGGGCCTTCGGTGGAGCTCCCTATGGGGCCACGAAACGTGTGAGGGGTGTGCCAGAATGGGGGGTGGAACCGCATGCGGGCGCAGCCACTGGGGCCTTCGGTGGAGCTCCCTATGGGGCCACGAAACGTGTGAGGGTTGTGCCAGAATGGGTGTGGGAGGGGGAGGAGGGGAGAGGAGGAGGAAGGAGGAGGAAGGAACGCGGGGCGACGTCTCTTCAAAACGAGGACCCAACACCACAGGATGGTTAGGGGGGGAAAAAAGCAAACACTTCTCCAGGTCGCACCCCGAGGCCAGTTTTTAGGGCGGGGCGGACGTTTCGCCTGAAACATCCTCACCACTCATGACTTGGAAGCTTAAGCATGGGCAAAGGTTTCACAGATGGAGGGCGGGTGGCTGCTAACATGTGGCTCTCGCCCTAGCGCCGCGAACAGCCGTTTTAAGCATGTGCAAGAAATTCACGCCGTGTTTTTAATGTGGCTCTCGCCTACGCGTCGCGCACATTCGTGGCAAAACATTGCAAGATTTTCACGGTTTGAGGATAACCCGTTTTCGAAATGTGGCTCTCGCCCGAGCGCCGCGCACAATCGTTCTAAACAAATGCAAGAGTTTCACGGAGTGAGGGCGGTACCTTTTCAAAATGTGGCTCTCGCCTCAGCGCCACACACATTCGTTCATACGATTTACAAGGTTTTCACGGATTCCCACGACCAACGTAAAGATAAGGTGTTCGGGAAGGATTCAAGATTTCGCGGATGCAACAGTTACGTTGGTTCGAAGTGTTGTAATCCCAAAAACTGCGTTCTGGAACCATCCAGGATCGTGAAGACGCTTCAATCAGGTTGGTCCGAGGCGTTGGAATCCCGAGAACAATGTCTTGGCATGTTCCCGGGTCAAGCGGCTGTCTTCCAACGAGGCAAGTCCCTCAATAGAAATGAACCGTTGTAGGGGCCTATGAAGGAGCTCGGAGCGAGGGTGTATTCCAACGTCGTTGCTGGCTCTTGGATTAACACTTGTCCTCCTCCTCCTCCTGCTCCTCCATCTCCTCCTCCTCCTCCTCCTTCTCCTCCTCCTCCATTCCTTTTCCTTAAAAACAACGTTTCCTTGTCGCACCCCGAGGCCAGTTTTAGGGCGGGCCGGACGTTTCGCCTGAGACTTCCTCACCATTTCCGACTCCGAAGCTCGAAAACTGGCAACGGTTTCGCAGATGGAAGGCGGATGGTTTCTGAAATGTGACTCTCGCCCTAGCGCCGCGCACAAACGTTGTAAGCATGTGCAAGGACTTCGCGGATTGAGGATTCTCCGTTTTCAAAATGTGGCTCTCGCATCAGCGCCGCGCACATTCGTGGCAGACGTGTGCACCAGCTTCACGGACTGAGGATGACCCGTTTTCGAAATGTGGTTCTCGCCTAAGCGCCGCGCGCATTCTTTCTAAATATTTGCACAAGTTTCACGGGTTCAGGGCGATTCCTTTCCAAAATGTGGCTCTCGCCTTAGCGCCACGCACATTCGCTCACACAATTTGCAAGAGTTTCACGGATTTCCCCGATCAACGAACCAGGAACGGTGTTCTGAAATCCCCAAAAAAGGCACGATCCAAGATCGGCAAGACGCAACTATCAGGTTGATCCGATGCGTTGGAATCCCGAGAACCATATTTTAGCATGCTTCCAGGTCTTCAAACCGTCGTCTTCCAACGAGGCAGATCTCTCAATGGAAATGAACCGTTGTAGGGGCATATGACGAAGGAGCTCGGAGGGAGGGTGTATTCCAAAGTCGTTGCTGGCTCTTGTGTTTACACTTGTCCTCCTCCTCCTCCTCCTCCTCCTCTTCCTCCTCCTCCTCCTCCCCCTCCTCCCCCCCCCCCCTCCCCCAGCCCCCTCCCCCCTCCTCCTCCTCCTCCACCTCCTCCTCCTCCTCCTCCTCCTCTTCCTCTTCCACTTCCTCCCCCTTCTCCTCCTCCCGCGAATGCTGCGACAAGTCCGTCACCGAGGTTGCCACCCGCTGAATTCACGCGTCGCGACGACACGTGACTAAGGGCGTCGTGTCATCCCTTGTTCCTCATCGCTACCACGTTTCATCACCCACGTCTTCCTCTAGAAGAGCTTACTATGGGAAGGCCTCCAAGAGTACATGGGTCGGAGTACACGGGGTCGGAGGATCGCGCAGAATCGCCGATGCATCGGCGATGCAGCGGCGATGCATCAGCGGCGTCGGCAATGCATCGGCCGCATCGACGTGGAGAACAGCGAGCTCCGCATCGAGCCGCATCGCCAATACGTCGGCGATGCGCCGCGATCCTCTGACCCCACCTGGTCCCGTGCCATCTTGGAGGCCTGGATCCTCCTAGCCGTCCTCCATCCTCCCTCCTCATCCTCCTCCCTCCTCTGCGCCTTCTCCCGGTAGACCCGCCCCCGCTCCGCGTCGCCCTCGGTGTCCCCGAGCCAGCGGTACAGCAGCGCGGAGTGCATCCACCTCATGTCGCAGGCGTTGTCGTGCCACACCTCCTGCGGGGTCTGCTTGGGCCGGTCCAAGCCCCCGACAGGGATTGAAGCTCGCTCTGGGTACCTTCCTGGAGCCTCGTGCTCCATTCGGCGCTGATGCTGCGTCGAACGTCCGTGGACTTCAGTCGAACTTGAAGCGGAGTAGAGCCGAACTCGAAACAAACTAGAATCGAACATACCCGTTAGGTGCTCTCCAGCGAGGTCCCCGAAACCGAGCATCTAAGCAGGGGCGCCGGTCGGGCACAGCCCCAAAGGGTCCGCCGATCCTGCGCCTGACTCCGCGGGCAGCCACGTCAGAGCACGAGACCCGTCCCTGCCTTCTCAAGCAAGTCGCCAAGCAGATCGCGCTCGGGCGCATGGGGCTGTCGGGCCTTGTACGATCACTGACAGGCTCGGAAAGCCATAGGTTGGGAAGCAACTCATGGAGGTGTTCGTGTGGACGGTAAAAGAGGACCAGGCCGGACTACCGGGCTGCTGAACATATATATATGTATCCCGCTTGTTCGGCGGCGCGACAACGGGGGAAGCAGTGAGAGGGGACAGGCCTTCTCAGAAGGCGGCGGGGCCCCTCAGGACCCCCCCAGCCTTCTGACAAACCCTCCAGCTTCGGAGAAGGCTCGGAAATCTTCTCAAACAGTTCCTCAGAAGGCCGGAGGCCTTCTGAGCCTTCAGAGAAGGCCCGCCCCTTCTGCCCAAGAGCTGTCCCCACCAAACCCAGGCCCTGAATATGCCGACGGTGCTCGGAATTTCATTGGGAGTTGGGCCTGATTGGGGGGGGGAGCCGCTTCGAACTGTCTTGGAGGGTCCAGAGACGGGCCGGGCAAACGGCAGCCCTGTCATGGCTGGTCTGGGGGGGGGGGGTCTGCAGTGGCTCGTCCGGGAGGCTTTTGTGAGCCCCACGCCCCTCAGACGAACCTCGGGGGGGGGAGGAGGAGGAGGAGGAGGAGGAGGAGGAGGAGGAGGAGGAGGAGAGGAGGAGGAGGAGGAGGAGGAGGAGGAGGAGGAGGAGGAGAGAGGGAGGAGGAGGAGGAGGAGGAGGAGGAGGAGGAGGAGGAGGAGGAGGAGGAGGAGGGGGGGGCCTTCTCGCTCGAGGTGCCCACGCGTGCCCGCAGCCGCCCGCCCGAGCCGTGCTCTGCCAGCAGCGTGGACCACTGGACGCCTCGGCCCCGTTCCGAGGAGCGCCCTCTCTCTTCGGCGGTGAGACAGCCCCTCCTCTGGCAGGCCTCCGTTCAGTGACCACGGCCTGGGACCGACGCCGACGCACCTCTGGGCCCGCAGAAAGGACGGCCCTCTCGCGAACCGAAAGCGGCCCATTCGCCAGTCCACGTGCCAGGGCAGGAGGTCGACCTCGACCCCCGCTCTTGGACGGCCTGGCACGGTGGTGCGCACAGGCCCTGGGAGGACACTCCGGAGGCCGCGGGCCTTCCGGGGGGCCTTCGGCTTTTCCCGGCTTGCGCCGAGGCACCGCCGCCTTCCGAGAATTGCCCGCCCCGTCTCGCTTCCCCCCTCGGCGCGCCCGATCCCCGGACTTCGCGCCGCCCCGGCCCCGCCTTCGGCGCATCGGAGCCGCAGCCGCCAGCAGAGATGCTCTGCTCAAAGAGCTGGGCCGAGGCCACCACGTTGCCGCGGATGACCTCCCCAGTCGACCTTGAGAAGGAAATGGTGTCATGATAGGTTTGGCTCAAGATGGGTTCCAGAGCTTCCTGGAGGATCTGGGGCCCCCGCTTCTTGAGCCCGTGCGGAGCAGCAGGTAGACTTGGAAATCTTGAACCTGGGGAGATCTTGCTTGGCGGCGCGCAGAGGGGGGTGGGGGGAGGGGGGGAAGGCTTCTCTGAAGGAGGCTGCTTCTCAGAAGGCGCGGGTCTTACATCTACGAAGGCCCACGCCTTCTAAGCAGCAGGGGCACTTCTAAGAAGCCCTCCCCGCTCCGCCTGCCCCCCTCTCTGCGCGGCCGACTTGCTGCACCGGAACCTGAACCAGCCGAACATGTAGAGCACCTGCGCGGCCGCCAGGGCGAGCACGGGCTCCTGCATCGCCTGCAGCCTGAGGCCCTCCACCTGCTCGAGGTCGCCGTCGCTCAGGACGCTGACGCCCCCCTCGTAGAACTTCTGCTCGAAGTACTGGACGGCCTTGTGAGGGACAACGGATCGCGGCAGGTCGGTGTCGTGATGACGTCGGCGCTAGTCTTTGGCACAGCGCGAGTTCAACCTCGATCGATCGCGGTCTTCGGATAGCGCAGGTCGTGCGACGCTGGCCGATTCTGGGCCACTGGCGGCGTTCGGCCTCGAACGCCCGTACTGGGGTCGCCGCCGCTTCGACGTGGCGGGAACCTGCAGGATTCTGAGCGGACCTGGCCGCGGCGACGATGGCCACCCCATGGGGGCCCAGCAAGGGCGACCACAAGACACCAGGGGGCGAGGGCATCGGCATCGGCATGTTCTCCTCACTCTGAGCCTGCCCCTGGTTGGTGGTCGGCGCGCCCCCTCCGAAATCCACTCAAAAACTGTCACTGTATTCCGTGCAAGTGGCATTCTCAGTCCCAGCGTGCACCCTCACCGCCCCTGGGTCCGCAGCGTGCCCCGCGAGGCCGAAACCGAAGAGCAGCATCGATCCCCGACTCTCGACTTTGTCCGAGCCTGGGCTACCAACGGTCACCGACACCGCTACGGCAGGTTCGTGTCGTGCCGACCCCAGCGTTGGTTTTTGACACCGCAGGGATCGTTCAACCTTGAACGATCGGCCGCTGCCGCAACGTCCGATCGTTCAACATCGACCGATTCTGGGTCGCTGGCGGCGTTCAACCTTGAACGTCCGCGCTGGGGTCGCCGCTGGTCGGCACGACGCAAACCTACCGTACTCCCCAGACCCCTCCCAGGGTGCGCTTGACCAGGGCTTCGAAACGCATCTCGCAGTGGCGACGAGGGCCGCCCAGGAGGCCCAGAACGGCGAAAACGAGGGAGGGAGGGGAGGAGAGGAGGAGAGAGGGAGGAGGGAGGAGGGAGGAGGGAGGAGGAGGGAGGGAGGAGGAGGGAGGGAGGGAGGGAGGGAGGAGAGGAGGAGAGGGAGGGAGGGAGGGAGGGAGGGAAGGGATATGCCCCTTGCACCCTCCGAGAGCCTGCCCCTGGTTGTACAGGTCGAAGTCCCCAGGACACACAAATAAATACACACACATAAAAATATTCCCTATATTTTCCCATGTTTTCTGGGTTTTTGTCTTCCCACCCACTTCCCATCTTTTCCCATAGTTTCCTGGAAATCTACAAATAATGGTGTCTGTGTGTTGTTTCCCCCCTGACTTGCACCCTCCGTGAGCCTGCCCCTGGCTGTACAGAGAGGGAGGAGGGAGGAGGGAGGAGGGAGGAGGGGAGGAGGATGGAGGAGGGGAGGAGAGGAGGAGAGGAGGAGGGAGGCAGGGAGGAGGGAGGGAGGGGTAGGAGGGAGGGAAGGGATATGCCCCTTGCACCCTCCGAGAGCCTGCCCCTGGTTGTAACAGGTCGAAGTCCCTGGACCACTGCAGCGAGGCGGGCCCGGGCGCCGCGACGGCCGCCTCCCCGCCGGCCCGCGCGCGCGCCCCGCACCAGCGCCACGGCCGCGGCGGCCGCGGCCGCGCGCCCGCCGAGGGCGCCCGCGCGCCCCGCCGCGCCGCCGCCGCGCATCGGCACCCGGCGGGGGCCTGCCCGCAGCTCCCGCGGGCGCCCGCGCGCGCCCGCGGGCGACTCGCGCGCCCGCGGGCGCCCGCGCGCTGCAGGGCTCGCGCGGGCGCACCGCGGAGGCCTCCTCTGCGCCCGGGCGCGCGCGCGCAGCCGCAGGCGGCTCGAGCCGCCGCCGAAGAGAGGGGGCAGACTGCCGGGCGTTCCTGGGAGGCGGTTCTGGGCCAGGAGGGCCCCCTCAATTTGTCACGGCGCCTTGGGCCCCCTGGACCTGGGCGCGAATCAGTGGGGGGCGATAAATGGGGGTGCAGAAAGGTCCCGTTCTCGGGCCCTAGAGGGCCCCTTTGGGCCCTAAAGGGCCCCTTTTCTGCAGCCCTCGCTCCACCCCTCATTGATTGCCCCACATACACGCGGGGTCCAATGGGTATCTCCCAGGTATTGCCCGGCCTCGCGAGGGGTGCTCTGCATGCCACGTGTGAACCTCCCTGGTGAAGCTGGGCTCGCCTCCCAGCTTGCCCGTCCACTGCTCCGCCCCGCCTGCCCTGGCCTCTCGCCTGCGCATTTGTCAGCGCCTGCTTGCTCGTTTCTGCTATACTATCTCCCTTCCCATCGCCGTGGAGTGCAGCTTGCTGGGTGCCGGCGGCGCAGGGACGAAGCATGTGGCGCAGAGCACGTCTTGTTGGGGCCCCCTCGGGCCAGGGCCACCTCTCGCAGTGCCAGAGCACGCGAGAGCACGCGTGCGCAGCAGCGGAGAGGGCGTGCCTGCTGAGGAGGAGGGAGGCCGAGCACGCACGTCCCCTCGTGACAACGCCCACGCTCCGAGGAGGATGGGATGGAGACCACCTCCTGCCCCCCGGGCCGTTCGGGGCGATCTGGGCACCCCTGGAGCTCTCTCGGCGAGGCGCAGCCACTGAAAAGCACCCCGAGGCTGGGAAATCGCCAGGAAGCGACGAGGAACCCTCCGCGAGCCTTCCTCCTCGAGCCCGAAACCTCCCCCTGACTGCCCATACTCTTCTTCTCCCGCTCCGCCGCACGTCCCCCCCTGGGCCGGCCCACCCTCCTCCCTCGCCGCGCGCCAACGCGCGCGCGCGCGCCGCGCGTCCTGCCCCTCCGCCGCGCCCGCCTCCTCCGGCCGCGCCGCCTCGGGGCCCCCCGCGGCCCCGGCGGCGGGCGGCGGGCCGCCCATCGGCGGCGGGGCCCCGCAGCCTCTGGCGGCGAGGCGCGGGCGCCCGCGGCGGAGAGCGGCGCCGCCCGCCCACGGCGCGCGGGCGGCCAGCGGCCGCGCGGGCAGCGGCGACGGTGGCGATGGCGGCGGCGGAGCCCGTTGGCGACGGCGGCGGCGGCGGCGGCGGCGACTAGGGCGGCAACGGCAGCGAGGGCGGCGGGCGACGCTGCCGCCCTCCGAGGCGTGCTGGGCGTTCCTCGGGCGTCTGTCGTGTGCCACCCTCGGAAGGGGCGCACGGCGGGCAAGAGCGAGGATCTGGGCCTGGGATCGGCGTCTGGACAGGGCCGCGGGGTCCGCTTGGAAGGAGATCGGGAGTATAGCGGCGGCGGCGGCGGCGGCGAAGACGACGTAGGCGACAGGAGGAGGGGAGGAATAGAGGTGAGTAGGGGGCAGGATGGAAGGAAGGGCAGAAGTGGGCAAACGCCCTCGTCCTCTTTCTTCCCGTTTTCTCCTCCCGTTCCCTAGCCCAGCTCCCTCTTTCATCCTCCCTCCACTCCTCTCTCCTACCCCCCGTTCCTCCCTGAGAGGAAACAGCAAGGAACCCTTTTCCTCCCTCCTCTGCGCTGCCCTCTGCCAGCTTGGTTCTTGGTGCGAGGCGGAAGCACTACACCCAAACCTCTCCTCCACTCTCTCCCTCCCCTTCCCTCTGTCTCTCCATCTATCCTCGCCCCTCGCCCCCGTCCTAGGAGGCTGAATTCAGCCTCGTCCTTGCTTTCGATCGAGACTCCGTCCAATATTGGAGAATCTGGAGGAGCATAATTATCTCTGGATCGAACATATTGTCGGCGCCGGCGGCAAAGCCCTTTTGCCTACCAATGTACTTTCCCCTGGCCGCCGAACCACCCGAGGGAAGCACTGATCCTTCTGCGGATCAGGGTCTCGCTGCAGGCGAGATGGGGTCTCCGCCTTGGGTCCTTACCATCCCTAGCATCATGTCACCTCCTCCCGCCTCCCGATATTCGGGGAGACGTACGACCTGAGTTCTGAGAACTCGAAATCAATGCCAGACCTAAGCGATGCGTTCCGTATTGGCTTCGTTTTGTGCTTCAGTTTGCTGTACCTGTTGTCCTGTGTTTCCTGCACGTCCTTGCCAAAACGAAGAACAAAACACAGTCGAAGTCCAGCAACACAGCGTTCAGGTCCTGCCCTGCTCGAGATTTGACTGATGGGACTTTCGGGTAATTTGCGAGACCTAGCATGATCAAAAACCCGAACTCCCACCGTCAACATATCGAGGAAACGGAGACGTCAGTCCTCGCCGGAAGCGGAGACATGCACAAATTCCGGCGACATCGAAACGTACGTTTCCTCGGTATTCATACGCATTCACACAGGCAACACAACTGGAAACCGGCAGCAAAACCGGCCCCGCCCCTAACCGCAAAACTGAAACCGACCGAAAACGACGAGCAAAAAACAATCCGAAGGACACAGGCAACACGATAGCCGTCCGAGCCGCATCGACGGAATGCAGCCGACCACGAAGCATCCGAACCCACGAGACCTTGGAACTCGCTCTCCACTTCGCCCGCAAATATTTTTTCAGAATGTCGTCAAACAACGAATCAATCGGAACAGGGAGGCAAGCATTAGAGAGCGAGCCGGCCAGCCAGAACTGCTCTAGCCCTTCAGGCCTTCCAGGCAAATCCTGAGGCCGTCCCCGACGGCGGCCACGTCGGAGTCTGACAGGTCGACGTAGTGCAGGTTCTTGATCCACTTGTTTATGATCCCTTTCTTCCAAGGGAGCTTCTCGCCATTTATGGTCAGCAGGGTCTGGAGATTGATGTGGACTTTATGCCAGGATAGCAGAGCGTGCTCGGTTGCGAGCCATTCGTTGGTTCGCCACTCATGCGTTCCATCCTTATCCGTGTACGTTGAGAGTTCTATTATACAGCTTGGTCTGGCGGTGAAGAGAGCGTTGACGAAGGCCGCCCCGTGATAGCCAATGGTGCCAGCGGCGTTCATGAAGAGTCTGACAGTGTCTGGGATCCGCCAGCCCCAATGCGGAGTCCCAGGCTGTACACCATCACGTTGCAATTTCTCAAATCTACGTAAGCAAGGCTTACAAGTTGCAACAATGATGTGTACAGGGAAATCCCACCAGCCCCTTGGGTGTAATTAGTTGGTTCACGAAGCTAGTTCTTCCAACCTCCCTTTACCCTTGGGGGGAAGATTTGCCTTTCAGAAGGGGCGCCATGACTGTCCAAAGATGGCTGCAACTGCGCATGGAGCCTCCCAGGGACCCCCATGAGAAACTCCAAATGCTGCCACAACCTCAGGAAACCAATGTGTTGTGAATTCTCGCCTGTTCGCTTCCGATTGGCTCATGAAACCTCATGGTGGCTCCAAGACTGTGCCAATACTCGTGCCTCTTGCGGCCGCTGTTGGAGCATCCCGCGCGCCTCCTCCGGCCATCGTGCTACCATAAGGAGCGTTGTCTAAGGAACGAAGGGGCTGCTCTGGTCATGGCGAGCCTCAGTCACGAATGTGTTCACAAAAGTGGATCCAAGGGACGACCCGAAAGCCATAGCCTCTCCTAGGCCAAAGCTATGACTTATCTCAGCGTACTGACTGTAACCCACCAATGAAGGCAAGGCAAGCAGATGATGACGGATCCGCGGGTCCCCTTGTGGGGCCACCAGGCTGTATGCCGAAGGTTCGCTTTTCTGTGCCAGTTGCAGCTTCCAGTTTCCACTGTTACAATTCTGCTTCTTGCTGCTTACTGTTCCTTGTTGATGGACCGCGCGAGGGGGGGGGGGAGGCTCAAACGGGCAGGTTTTGCACGCCCTGAGCGTGTGCTCTTAGTTGCTGGGGTGGGTAAACATTGACACCCCTCACGGAGATCGGCGGGGTCAGGGTCCGAAAACCCAAGGGATTCTCAACACTTCTGAATTTCGGTAGCACCCCTCACGCGGATCGACAGGGTCAGGATTCAAAAACAAAAGGAATTTGCCACATGTTTTTAAAATTCGGTGGCACCCCTCACACAGATCGACGGGGTCAGGGTCCAAAAACAATAAGGATTTGCCACATTTCTGGCATTCGGTGGCGCCCCTCATGCAGATCGGCGGGGTCAGGGTGCAGAAATACAAAGGATTTGCACATTTCTGAAATCCGCTGACACGCCTCACGCAGATCGGCGGGGTCAGGGTCCAAAAACACATGGGATTTGCCACATGTCTGAAATTCGATGGCACGCCTCACGCAGATCGGCGGGGTCAGGGTCCGAAAACCCATGGGATTCTCAACATTTCTGAAATTCGGTGGCACCCCTCACGCGGATCGAGAGGGTCAGGGTCCAAAAACACAAAGGATTTGCAATCTTTCTTTTTTTCTGAAAAAGAAGAAAGAATCGGTGGCACCCCTCACACAGATCGGCGGGGTCAGGGTCAAAAAAACACACAGGATTTGCCACGTTTCTGAAATTCATACAACAGCGAATACAACAATAGACTCGCAACCTCCATTCGTCTTGCCAATTACCCATCGTCTTCGCATGAAGTTCCGATGCTGCTTCACGGTGAAGCCAAAGCCTCATGACTTCGCTCTTCCATGGCGGCGGCCGGGGGCGAAGCCCTTACAGATAATGATAAACGGTCACCTGTGTCCCCCAGCTGTCTCCACACCAGCTGCGGGGACAAACAGGCCAACAATTTGGCGAAGCCTCGCCTCAACGCGCGGCCACATGGGCCTCGCCAAAAAGGCAAGGAGGGGGGAGGGGGGCGGTGACCCGCCGGAGGCGTCTGTGATGCTCGCCGCGCCGAGATACTCTGCGTATCCAATGTGTTTCGCGGCCGCGATGCCCCTCAGGACGCCAGTGAGGGCAGCCTTCGCCTTCGGGTACAGGACGCGAGAGACAGAGTCTGGACGGTCCAGCAAGATGAGCTGGGCAGGGTCGGGCGAGGGAACGGCCTTGGCGGCATCGCGCTGCAACGCGCGCACGTTTGCCTGCCAATTGATGGGGTACCGACCCGTAATGTTCTTCAGCCTGGGGAACTCGTCCATGTAATGCTGCTCGACTTGGTCAGTCACGCTAGGGTCCACGGCGTGCGCCTGCAGGGTCTCTGCACAGGGATCGCTGGAATCGATGATGCGGGCGCCCTTTGCGAGCAGGTCTGGGATCAGGACGGGGAGAATCGGGCTGAGATTTGGCTTCAAGTGGACACCCCCACGGCTGGTGTACTCGAAATAAGTGAGGATGCAAACGGTCCCTTTGGCCTTCCTCGCCATATCTAGCAAACCATAGCCTGGAATCAAGCAATCGGCCAGCCGGTGCCAATATCCCGACCGCTTCTCAAAGTGGTGCGCGCAACTCAGATCGATCGTGAAGGAGCAGGCTGAACAGTTCGACTCGACCCTGCCCGGAGGCCACCGTCATCTATGCCAATGTGATCCGATCTCCTCCTGGGAAAGGGCGAGGAGAGAAGGAACGCAGAGAGAGAGAGAGAGAGACAGCCAGACAGACAGAGAGTAAGCACATTGCCATATGAGAGGGAGGTCTCCCACCTGCCGTATCGCGCATTACTCCGCACTGCGACGTCTTCCTGGTAGACGTCGTCGTCATCGTCCGAGAGCAGGCCACCCTCCTCGTCGGCGCCCAGGTCGGCTGTGGGGCCGCCCTGAAGCAGGGCGGCGGCGAGTGTGCTGCCCTGCCTCACGGGAGAGGGAGACACCAAGCCGTTGGCCAGCAGGATGCCACTGAGCGCCAGGCCCCACAGCATAATCAACGAGAAAGGTACTGTCTGGTTGAGGAAGAAACCAACCTGTCACATCAACTTTCGGAGGTCCACGCAGCTGACTTGTGTCGGCGCTGGGCCCCCCCTGGCGGCGCCTCCAGCGCCGCTTGTGGCGAGCTCAGCGCCCCAGGAAGGGTTCCAGCGTCGCTCCAACAAATCCGCGCGGAACTCGGAAGTTATTGTTCATCTAAGTTGCTTCTTCTTCGTCAGTATATGGAGGCCCTCCAAGTGGGGAGATCAGCAATGAATCCCCGTGCCGAACCGAAATTTATACTAATTGTTGAAGCGTGCGCAACCCACGCCTGTAGGAGTGCCAATCCCGACATGTTTTGTTATCCTCTCTCTCCTATGTTTCTCTATCTTTCGCTTCGCTCTCGCTCTGCCCAACTCAGCGGCAGCCCGCACCTTCGCTCTCACTGCGATTTGTTCCACCAGTCCCCCATCCCCCCTCTTCCTCGCTTTCCTCCGCAGTCCATTCCCAACCTCCCCATCCATCTTTCCAGCCGTCGCTCTTGCTGCGGTCTCTCCCTTTTTCCACATGTTCTCGAGCATCAAAACACGGCAACAAGGTAAATTTCAAAAAGTCCGCGCAGATCTCTTACTTCGGCGCTGGATCCCTCTCCCCTGGTGCCTAAGCGCGCACGCTGGCACCACGGGCAGCGGCGGGGGCACCGCAGATAATGTCCAGCGTCAGCCGCTTCTGCGCAGCAGCGCAGGGAATGCTGTACACAACTTCTGTTCTGGCGCCAGCCGGGAGGAGAAATTCTGCCCCGTCGTGACAACCTCAAGCCACCACGATCACCTACCCGTAACAATTCATGCCCGGGTGACCGCTCGAGTAGGCGGAGGAGGCGGAGGAGGAAGATCCGCCGACCCTACCGGCGTGCGGGGGGCATTTGTCCGGTCCCGTCGACGGGGAACCTCATTTCGCCCGCCCCTTCCCATCCTCTTGTCCCGTCGGGGGAATGAAGGAGAGACAGAGAGAGAGGGAGACAACCAAAAAAACACCCTTCCTCGTTCGGGAAACGCGTTCGCAGCTTGAGGGGATTCCATCCACGTCTGTATTACGTAAAAAAATATTTCCCTTTGTGCCCTCCCTGGCGGGGGAGGGTCCCGGCGGGGGGGGTCAGATTCGCATCGCCTCTGGGGGTCGTCCTCGCCCACGCCGGTCCTTCTCCGGCGCGCCGGTCCTCTTCGCCTCGTCCTCCCTCAGCGGGGAGGAGTCCCAAGGGAGGGGGGGGGGGCAGATACGCATCCGTCCCTTGGGGTCCTCGTGCCGGTCTTCCTCCCGTCCTCCTCCCCAGGAGAGAAGTCCCGTCCTTTTTCTCCTCCTCCCCTCGCTCTCCTTCGTCCGGACCTTCCACCCTGGATTTTTCATCATCTTGAGTTATCTTTATATGAGTTATCTTGAATTATCTTGAGTTTTACAGAGTTTCGCTAGATTCATTGAATTACAAGCCAATTAATTGCATCTAAAAGACATATTAAGACATTCGGAGGCATCTCTCTTTTGCATTGATCGACGCCGCTTGTGCCCCCAAAATAGCACAGCACCGCCATGACCATTGATTGCAACATTACGTCATCAGCGTCATTGCCATTCGTCGTCGTCAACATCACAATCATCACCAAACTCAACGCCACCGTCGGCAACATCATCATTCCCATCATTTTTCGAACCAGAAGCATCATCAACATCAGCATGATCGTCATCAACCATTTAACGTCATCATAATAACCAACAGCATCATCAACATCACCATCATCGTCATCATCATTATATCCCCCTTTGCAATTATTTGTTTTCTTCCCTTGTTCTCCTCATTTGTTTGTTCAATTTTTTCCCTACCTATAGGCCCTGCCTATAGAAGGGTTCTTACCCTGTGTGCTGAAGGGGTTGGGCAGCGGAGCCCGCCATGGGCGGTTCCCCCAGGATCCGCCCCGCGGTTCCCCCAGTCCCCTGGGAGCTTTAGCTTTAGCTTTAGCTTTAGTTTAGCTTTAGCTTACGTTTTAGCTTAGCTTTAGCTTCGGTTTAGTTTAGCGTTCGCTTAAGCTCTACCTTAGCCTTAGCTTAGCTTTAGCTTAGCTTTAGCTTAGCTTTAGCTTAGCTTTAGCTTAGGACCACCTTAGCCTTAGCATAGCTTTAGCTTAGCGGTAGTTCATATTTAACGTAATGCTACATAGCTTTAGCTTAGCTGTAAAGCTTAGTTTTAGCTTAGCTTTACCTTAGCTTTAGCTTAGCTTTAACTCAGCTTAAGCTTAACTTTAGTTTAACTTCAGTTTAGCTTTAGCTTAGCTTTAGCTTAGCTTTAGACTAGTTTTGTATTAGCGTTAGCTTAGCTTTGGCTTAGCTTTGGCTTAGCTTTAGCGTTTCGTTTACTACTAATGCTGCTTTCTTTGGGCTCCAACTCCTAGGTAGGGTCGCACTGGGATAGTTCTTTCCTGTAACGATTTTGCACCCCTCGGAGAGGGCAGGGACGACGATGGCGAGACGAGGCGAAAGACGACGACAACAGCGGAGAGGACGGCCCGCCAAGGCGGGGGGGAGACCGAGGGCGGAGGCCACGGAGGAGGAGAGAAGAGGAGAGCAGGGGAGGGGAAGACGATACGACGAGGGAAACGACAGCAGCGCAGAGAGCAACGACGACGGCGACGACGACGAGGGGTGCGGAAAGGGCGCGAGGCCCTAGGCCCTAGGCCCTCTCCTAGGCCATAGGCCCTAGGCCCTAGGCCCGAGGCCCTCGGGGTCGTTCGGAAGCCCTAGGCCATCTCCTCCTCGTCCTCATCCTCCTCCTCCTCTTCGACCGCTGGCCCGACGGGCCCTACAACTGATGACCCAACACGACGTGATGATCGCGATGATGTGGCACTGCATTTTTTCCTCGGATCCAGCCCCGTGGAATCTTTGTAAATGCTGCATGTACCATTTGGTAGCACTGTTCTCAGAGAATTTCACTCTGTTCACACCTGCGCTTCGCTTGCGCGTTGCAAAATTCTCACTCTCATCCCTGTAGTTCTGGCTGTATGCGGGATTGCCCGCCCAGCGGGCCTGCTCGACGACGCGCCTGGCAAACGCGTGGAATTTCATTGTGAGCCTACGGCCAGAACTTATCCATGCATGTGCAGTTTTATTCGCAACATCACCCAAATGTTGAATTGACAAGTCGTCCATTTTTCGGGGCTGCGACTTCAATATTTGGTAATCCGCCACCGTGCCTCTGGGCACGGAGTGGGCGTATCCTAAGGTCCTGGGTTTGGGTCTCAGTCCTCAGTTCTGGTGGTAATGTAAGTGGGGCAGACAGAGCTGCGGAGAGGGGAATGAGGAGGGGGACGCGGCGAGGGAGGGGGAGCTAGGGGAAAGAGGAGGGGGAGGAGGAGGAGGAGGAGGAGGAGGAGGAGGAGGAGGAGGAGGAAGGGATATGTGGGAACGGTGCAGCAGGCTGGTTGCTACACGTGCGCCAGAGATCCGCTGTGTCTTCGAACTGCCCAGCGGACTGGGAGCAAAAGAAGGAGGAGGAGGAGGAGGAGGAGGAGGAGGAGGAGGAAGAGGAGGAGGAGGAGGAGTAGGGTATGCGGGGACGGCGCAGCAGGCTGGTTGCTACACGTGCGCCAGGGGCCATTTTTGTCTCCGAATTGCCCAACGGATTGGGGGCAAGCGGGGAGGAGGAGAATGAGGAGGAGAAGGAGGAGGAGGACGAGGGCGATGGGCAGGGGGAGGAGGAGGAGGCGGAGGAGGAGGAGGAGGAGGAGGAGCCCTGGCTCTCAAATATATCGGGGTGTCCCGCGCGACCCCCGCGTTTGGAAACATTTTTTTGGCACCCATCGCGAGGGTCGTGGCCTAGGGGGCCCCGACCTCGAGCGCCCCCCTCCCGCCCCAAGATGCCCCCGAGAAACCCCCGAGAGGCCCCAACGGGCCCCCAAGAGGTCCCCAAGAAACCCCAAGAGGCTTCAAATAAGCCCCAAAGAAGCTCCAACATTGGCCCGAGAGGCCGCCAATAGGCCCCCAACGGGCCAGAGACGGTGACGGCATAGGCAGAATGCCGCTACATACTTGAGCATGCCTTCCCCGACTTCCAACAACCTTGAACCTTCGGACACGGCGGGGTCGGCGCTGTCCAACAGGTCGCGGCCGCCAGCTGATCGGAGCAAATACACTATGAACGGGAGTGCCGCTCTACTCTTTCCAGCCTTCATCTTGAGAAGCGGGCTCTCGCGGGGCCCACACATGTTGAAATTCAAAGACACGAGCCGATCATGATCTGGAACGCGATACTTTTTGAACCAAGACGTGTAAGCATCCTTTAAAGCACAGTCGGCACCGTCATGGTCCTGCTCTGTCATCTCGCCAAAGAATCCTAGATCAGCCAGGGCCCATAACACTGCGCCCATATAGTAATGGAGAATTCCCAGGTCGGCGAAGTGCATTGAATCGAACAGGAAATGCTCGAGTTTCAATCCAGGTATTCCCAGTTGAATGCCTTCGATATTGAATAGCCTGTTGATGAACAATATGCTATTGCGAGGGCGGCGGTAAATCGACCAGCCCTCTGGGCAACACGTGTAAACATATTTCCACATATGGCTCCAAAGATGACTCCAAGGATGGCTCCAAAGATGGCTCCACAGATGACCCCACGGACGATCGACGACGGCTCCAAGACGGCTCCACGATGACTCCAAGATGGCTCCGCATATGGCTCCAATGACGGCTTCGACGATCGCTCCAAAACTAGCCAGGCTGACCAAGATGGCTCCAAATATGCACTAAGAGGGCTTGCAACGGGCATCCCAGATTGCCCAAGAAGGCTAATCGACGCCACCCCCCCGCTGAGCCGTAGGAGAGCTCACTCGGGCCTCCAATGGGGTCACCTGGGCCCCAAAGAACGCCCCGAGAGGCCGCGTGCAATGTTGCTTGAAGAGGGCTCCGCGATGGCACCAAGATGCTTCCAGGGTGGCCGAACAGCGAAATACAACAAAGGCTTTTATATTGACTCCTGTCGCCGTCGTCGTTCCTCCTTGCGCATGAAGTCACATTACTCGGCCCGCGACTCCTCATTTCCCTCCTCCCTCCCCCCCCTCCCCCCGCCCGCGTTGCCCCCATCCTCCTCCTCATTGGGCCCGCAGCTGCAGATTTGCACTGGTTGTGTGGGCGTGCGCGAAGCGCTAAGCATTAGGATCATCCTTTTCTGAGGTTCGTAATCCTCGCAACGCTCCCCGTGCCAAACGTCGGGGAATCCAGGCAAAGATGGTTCTAGACGATCCCCGCGTTGGAGAAGAGGGAACTCATCCCGCACCAACCGCTTGAGAACGACCCCTCCTCTTTTGCGCCGCACCGTGC